AGAATTCTTCAGACAGTTCTCACAAGAAGGAAATTTCTTCTCACCTTTTAAAAAAATTAATTTTTTTTTAATGAACACAAATTAATTTTTTCTCCCTCCCATCTCCTCCCTTTACTGAAAGAACAAAACCAAACCAGTCGCCCACAATAAAACCCTTCTGACAAATGTGTAGACTCAAGCAAAACCAATTCCTACATTGGTTATGTCCAAAAACAGTATGTCTCAGTCTGCACCCTGAGTCCTTCACCTCTGTCAGGAGGTAAGTTGCATATGACAGAGGTAAGTTGCATGTTTCACCATCTTTTCACCTTCTTTCTCTCTGTTTTCTAGATCAAAGGTTAAAAAACACTCTCCTGGAATCTGTAGGGAAAAGTACCTCATTGCCAGATATTTAGAACAGTAATTCCAAATTGCTAGTCCTAAATGCCTTTTCTGCAATATTGTATTTGGCTCTTAAAAGATACCATAACTGTATCTATAGTCTCTGTGAGAGTTTAGTGAAACAGGTGCTAACAATACTTTAAAATGAATTTCTATGTACAATATGTCCAGTTCAGTTTATCCCTTTTTAATTCATGCATCTCTGTATTTATATAAATACATAGTATGAATATTGTTCCTGGTTCTACCTTTTCATTCCGTATGACTTTATATAGGCCTTTCCAAATTTCTTTCTTTTCCTCATGTTTATCAGTTATAATGGCACTCTGGTATGGCAGATAGAGAGCTAGTCTGAAAACCAGGAAGACCTGGCTTCAAGCCACACCTTTGATGCACCCTGGCTGTGTATCACCTAATCTTTCCCTGCACTCTGGACCAAAGGTGTCAAAAACAAGCCCACAGCCCTTCTGAGTACTGCCTGAACTAGATTAAAATGTAACTGGGAACTATTTAACAAAATAAGTAAAAATACAATCAAACACAGATAACTACATTTTAAAACTAAATCAACATGTGGCCCACAGGGATCCTTACATATGGTTTAGTGGTCCCCATTTCTATTTGAGTTTGACACCATGACACTGGACAATTCTATGACTTGCTGAGAAGGGGCCAACCTGCATTGGTAGAGGGGATTTCCGGGAAACCACAAGTCCTGTCCCCAACCCTAATGGCGTTGTAGTTTCTAATCACAATGCTATGACTTGGTTCATTCAGCCATTACCAACAGTTTGACATAATTTGTTTCAATTCAATTATATATAATCTTGTTTTATATATTTCTAACTAAATTTTCATGATGATGTTCTTTTTTTAAAAATTTATTTATTTATTTATTTTTAGTTTTCAACATTCACTTCCATAAGATTTTGAGTTCCAAATTTTCTCCCCATCTCATGATGATATTCTTAGGATATATTCTCAATAATGAGATTGTTGAGTCTAAAGTTATGATTATTTTTTGACTCTTGTTAACTGCTAGATTGCTCTCTGTAAAGGTTCTACAATTTGCTGTTCTACCACCAATGTTTGAGTGTATTTGTTTCTCTACAACCCTGCTAACACTGGATTTTGTCACTTTTAGTTATTTGGGGCAGAAAGTTTTCTGTTATTTGTCTTCTACAGGCACAGAACTGAGTGTATAAGCAAGTGTTGAATATTAACATTCCTTGATTCTGAATTTGAAATTCTCACATTTCAAACTAAAGGACCACTTAAATGGAAAGAAGCTGAGAATATTTGATGTCTTTACTGATAGGTGCACTGTGCAGTTTTCACTAGTCTCTGCCTTAATTTTTTTCAAGGGTAGTGGCTCCCGGGCTCATGGATTTAGAAGTAGAAGGGAACTTTGGCCTATTAAGTCCAACACCCTCATTTTATAGGTGAGGAAACTGAGGCATAGAGGGTGACTTGGTTAAAGCCACATGAAGAGAGCTAGTCCTTTTGGTCACAAGTTCAACATACCACTCTACCTCATTGCTTGCCGTAGTGGACCCTGCTTGGTTTCCAAGATCAGATGAGACGGGGCAAGTTCAAGGTTGCAAGGTTATATAGTTGGGAAGGCTTAAAACTCTCCAAGGGTTTTGTTATGGAATAATGAATAGGAATGGGGAAGGGCAGCACTATTTGGGGGAGGGGGATCAGGGCTATTGCTGTTGCTCCTGAAACCAGAATCCTCCCTGTGCTGAGAACTGGGGCTGGTTCTATCATGACTGGAATCTTGTGTATGACAAGCATTAGCAATCTTAATCTTTTGGTTAGGGATGGTGTTTTTTTTTTTAATCTCTGCTAATCATATACTGTACTTTGGCAGAATTTCCTGAATGCAATAGAACAGCATGGGAAATAGTATGGCATAGAGATTTGGAGTAAAATTAGATTTTCTGATATGTTTGTGGAGCATATAGAGTCTCCCTCTTCCATCTTCCCCCACTTTGGGAATAGGGGAATGCTTTCTCTTACATAAAGCCATAGACAATTAGAGCTAAAGGGTACTTAAGAGACCCTTCATTCCTATTCTGTCATTTTACAGATGGGGAAACCAAAGCCCCATTGATATGTCCTTTAATGTGACATTTATTCCATCTCAAACGGGCTTTGGAGTCTGAAGCTACTTATCCATGAGACTTTGGACATGTCATTTAACAGCTGCATGCCTCAGTTTCCTCATCTGTAAAATGACAATGCCTATTTTACCAAACTCACAGGGTTGTTATGAGACTCAAATCATGACTCTGAAAGCACTTTGTAATTGTCAAGTGCTGTATACATGTTTTACTATGCTCAAACACCAGAACGAGTCAAGGGACCAGGGAGGCTTTTTTTTTTTAACTAAAGCCCCTCTCAAAAACAATGAGATGCAATAGTGATGTTTTTGCATGTTTTGGACACTGAATACGTTTGTTCAGGTTTAATTCCCTTTAGGTTGGCTTCCAGCAAAACTGAAATTCCTGAAGTTTATCTTATCTGGTCCAATGCCCTCTCTTGCTCCCAGGCCGTCCTGAGTTCTGATTCCATTAGACCAGCTCTCAAGTAACCTGTAGCAAGGTACCACAGCCTAAAGAAGGGCTCTTGAAGCCCAACAACTTTTAAAAGCTACAGTAATGCATCTACTGTAGGGGAATTTTAGGCTTTGAGTAGGGTGGTGGGAAAGTGATTTTTTAAAATCCCTCTCAAATCATATCTTGTTTCTTTGATAGGTTTAGCTATGGAAGGAAGAGTGGGTTGTCTGATTCTTCACTCCAAAGCTTGATTCATGAACCTCCCCTCTCCTTTCCACCCAGAGTCCCCCAAAGCCTTTTTCAATGCCTTAATATTAGTCGAAAAGGCTGCAGTACCTCCCAAAAGCCACTGTGCGGCTGTCACATTATTGGTTATTTGTGCTCAAGAAATGGTAGACACTGAGGGTATTAAAAGCCCCAAGGAAAAGATACCCCCCCCTGTCCCCATCAGTAGATCCTCCACGGATGATTTGGGCAAGACCCACACAGGATGACCAGAATAATATATAGATTGCAATCCACACTGGTAAAAAGGGAGTGCCCATGTCAAAATCATGGATTCATTGACATAAATCGATTTCCTTAAGGGCAGGGATATTTTTTTCTGCCTCTTTTCCTATAGTGCCAAGCAAAGGGTTGGGTACACAGTAGGTGCTCATTAATATTCAATGAATGAGTCCCAGAGGTTGGCCCAAAGGAGAGATATGTACCCAGTGGGTTTTTTTTTTATGTGTGTGTGTGTGTGTGTGTGTGTGTGTGTGTGTGTGAGGCAATTGGGTTTAACTGACTTGCCCAGATTCACACAGCTAGTGAGTGTTATGTGTCTGAGGCTAGATTTGAACTCAGGTACTCTGGACGCCAGGGCTGATGCTGTATCTACTTTGCCACTTAGCTGCTCCAAACCCAGTGTATTCTTTGGAATATGGCTAAAATAATACTTGGGAATGGAGTAGTTTGTCATGAGCTTAGAGGCTTCTTAGTGCTTTATTCAACAGGGTTGACACTGTCTTACCCCTCAGAAGATGATTTGGAAAAAATATTGACTACTTCAATTTTTTCCCAGTAGAAGATGCTTGTGTTTGTGTTTGGAAAGAACATGAGGCGGGGATCCAGGGAATCTGGGTCCTCATTGAAGCCTCGTTGTGACTTTTTGAGGTACTTTACTTCTCTTGAAAGACAGTTTGACCATCTGAGTGGCCTTACTTATAAGATTTGTTGAACTGATGCCTCCCCACCGCTTCCATGGCAGATGGGATTGTTGGAGAATTGGATGAAGTGGAAGTACTTGGTTCCATGCTCCCTTCAACCAGATCAGGCTTCTTGGAGGAAGGTTATACAACTGAGGTGGAATCTTCCTCTTTCCCCTTGGCTTCTTTATGGCCTATATTATGAAGATGATGCTGGACCATGGATGGGGATGGGGAAGGGTGGGAGCCATTCCTATAGCTGGTCTTTGTACTCCATGTGGTTTTCCAAGAGATTTCCCCTTTATTAATTCCCATGTTATTATTATACAATCATACACAATGGTTCAGGAATCATAATGACAAAGTCAAGGGGCCCAGGGCATTAGCAACATCATCAAAGATAGTATCTGAGGCATAACATGAACAATCAAATTCATGCAGCCTGGGGTGGATTGAGGAAGGTTTGCTGACCCCTCCCCTCTCCTCTGTCCTCTTTCCACTGGGGCTCCAAAAAGGCTCATATCTAGCTAGTTCTCCAAGACAAAGTCTATCATCCCCTGACTGCCCTCCATAAATCAGGGATTGGGGTGAGGGCCCAAGCTCGAGAATAAATAGACTGTTTTCTTTCTTCCACTATGGGGGCAGGGGCATTCCTTGTGAACATTGCAAATAAACTAGGCTGCAGGAGTATTATCCTTCACAGATGTCCTTGGCTCGTCCTTCCCCAAGACAGAGGATTTGGAGTTGAAACTCATAGCCACTGTCAGATGCAGCCCAGACCTAGCCTAATAGCTCAAGAATTCCTATTATAGATGGCATCAAGGGTTTCTCCCACCATGGGCTAGGGACCAGGAAGAATGGGGAACTCCTATGATGGGAACGACAGGGCAAATAATATTATTGAAGGCACATGGTTTTTGATATCCGAACCTAGCCCTGGTCCCAGTTTACTAGGGAGAGTGGGGTGGCTGAGATACCTCATACCTCTTCCTCCACAACCACAGCATCTAAGGAAGCTGGATGGTGAAGGTCAGACTACATTTGGTGCTGGCCCTGAGCTGGGGCTGTGGGGAGAGGGATCCCTCTTGTGCTGGGCCCACATGGAATTGTATCAAGAAGGGAGGAAGAGTTGGGTGTGGTGGGAAGTAAGCCTGTATCCCAGGAAGGTAATGGAAATGAGGTTTCAGGAGGAGTCCAAAGGTAGAAGAGATTAGGTCCAGTGTCCTGGGTAGTGGCAGAATTGGCTGGTGAAGATGGCATATGCAGTGCCAGGCTGGAGACCTGGATTTGCTCTGCCGGGAAGTCTGTTTATTCCTGTGGCCCCAGCAGTTCAGAGGCCTGTGGCAAGACAGACCCTGCCCATCTACTCCTGTGTTTCCCCCAGTCTCTTCTCTTGAGCTGGAGGTGGCTCACAGCTTGGCTCGTGGGTGTTCTTGCAGCAGGGTACGCATGTCCAACAGGGCCTTCTCCAGGTAGTGAGTGAGACGGGCAGCGTTGGTCTCCGCACAGCTGTTGTAGGCAGAGACCACAAAGTTGATGTGCTCAGCCATGGGGTTGTAGCAGACACCATAACCATCAGGGACCACCGGTCCAAAGCACATGATGCAGTCAGTCTTGGCGGGGACCTGGAAAGGAAGACACAGAGCCCTGGTCTAGAGAGGGAGCAGGCCAAGTGGGAATCGCCAGCCATTATCTTCCATTCCGATCCAGTTCTTTCCCCAAGTGCCCCTGGGCTGGGGCGTACAGCTAGGGGTGGCAGGAGTGGGGTTTGGGGGAGGAGAGTTCAGTAGCCTCACCTGGCTGGTAGAAAGGTTAAAGTGCATTGCAATGGCATAGGATGTGTCCATGAAGATCTCAGGGATGCTCACTAGATCCTCGATGGCCTGAAGCTTTAGGCCTAATAGGTGACGGTCAATAGCTTCCCCTCGGATGGCCTGGGAGAGACAAAGGACAAGGGAAAAGAGATAACAGGGAGTGTGGGGGGGAAAATGACTTGCTGATTTCTTGTGGGATACACGGTTGGCCTTGTTTAGTTCTGGAAAAGGGTTGTGATAAAGGAGGTAGGAAGGAGCCTGGGGAGAGGTTGATTACCATAGTAACCCAAAGATATAGAAACACACACAGAGGAAGGAACCTCAGAGGTCATATAATCCAACCTTCCTGTTTTACAGATAAGGAAACTGAGGCTCAGCAATGACTTGTCCAAGGTCTCCTGACTCCCAATCTGGGCTTGTCTCTTAGTTTTCTATATCTGCTGTCCTCAGATCACAGTACAAGGCTTTGGGCACAGCAGACACCCTTCCAATGTCCACGGAATTAATGAATGAGCCAACGGAAGGTTAGCAACAAGGGCATAGGATGTCCAAGGGCTTGAGAGGGAGACAGGCTCTGGCCCAATCTGCATTTTCTAATTGAAAGCCCTCCTTCCCCCGCCAAGGACCAGCCTTAGAGGAGGGAGGTGATCCCCAAAGCCCACTCACCATGTCAGTGTATGATCTGTGTGACATCACCGCCTTCCTTAGCAGCTCGACCTTCATTTGTTCCTGCAGGAAGCAGTGGGTCAGAGAGGGCTGGTGGCTCTGGGACACAGCCCTGGCTCTATTCTCTGGACCCAGGGGATTCCAAGTGGGCACAGAGGAGCTCAGCAAACTCTCTGGATTACATGGGGTTCCAGCGTGTAGATTCTGAACTAGGAGCTGCCAGATTTTAGGGGTGAACCACCTCTTCCAACCCCAATCTGGCCCGGACTTACAGTCATGTTAGTGTTGTCCATGGCTTTGACAAAATTGAGGGAATCAACAGAGTTGGAACGGATGGTGTCAGTGCGGCCCAAGTGGAACATTCGGAGTGAGGCACTCTCATAGGTGGAGCAGGTTTGACCATAGATTCTGATGGGGAAGGTGGAGGGAAGGACTAGTCATGTGCTCCCCAACTGAAACAGCACTTTGGGGTCTCTCCTCAGAGACCCCAGAGGTACTTTCGGTCCCCACAGAACCTCAGCATCTCCCTTGGGCCATATTCCTTCCCTGGGTGGGGGTGGGTCTAACCTGTAATAGGCCAGCTGTAGAGCCATCTGGATGAAACCATCTGGGCTCATCTTCTCTGCCTTGGGGAAACTCTTCCCAAAGTGATGGAACACTAGCACTGTAAGGTCCAGGTCCTGTACCATGCTGGAGAAAGAGGGCAGAAGGAGCAGGGTGAAGGGGATCTGGGGGAGGGAAGGATAGGCTGGGGACCTAGGAAAGTGAGAAGGACTAGAGCCTGGGAAGGGAGGTGGGAGAGGTATTTCTCTCCATGGGACAGGAAGACCTCTAGGGTAGGGATAGGAGGGATCCTAAGTGATGTCTGTCCCTTCAGGGCTTCCCAGAGCTGAGAGGTGGGAGAGGGGCCACTTCTTTCAGGAACTCACATGTTGAGGTTTTGCTTGGCCTTCTCAATGTCACTCTTAATCTCAGGGGTGATGTTGAAGCGCAGCTTCTTGGGCATGGGTAGGGGAATCATAGGTGACCTCACAAGCTCTGGTTTCTTCCTGTATAGGAGAAAGGGACCTTAGTCTCCAACCTAAGCCCCAGCGTCAGGGAGAGAATGTGAATGTGGGGAAGGACCCTATCCCGAAGCTAAAAACACTGGCATATAGGCTGAATCACTTTCACTTTATGCAGGGTGGGGAAAGTGAAAAGGGATCTAGGGGTCTAGACCCCTAGAAGGCCCTCTAGCGGTCAACAAGGAAAGCCTCCTTCAGCTGAAAACTGAATGACTTTAATGTTCACGAAGCAGATGGGGCAAAATTTTTCTCAGAGAAAAATGTTCTTCTTCCCCCTTCTTAGATCAAACCCACCAAACACAGCCAGTGATCTTGTAAATGTGTGCCACTGGTCACAAGGGGAGTTGGTCGAATAGAACAGCTATGACTCAGCGTCAGCCAGTGCCACTTTGGGAAGGAAGGCTGTTCTATTTCTTAAGTTAATGAAAGGAAGGGCTCCTCACGAGAACTCCATGATGTGGTCCAGGAGTGCCACGATGGGGGGCCCCTCTGCAGTAGCATGTTCATACACGAGGCCACAGGAGCCATCTTCTGCCACTATGAACTAGAGCACAATGGGGGTGCCGGTTAGCTCAGAGGCTCCCAGAGTGCCTGTCTTCCCCACCTCTCAGGAAGCATGTGGTTCCAAGTCTATCTCTCCATCCCTCTATTTCTCTCTATCCTTTCCTGGTCTTGACTGGAGGCAGGGGGTCTGGGTCCAAATCCAAGCTCCAGAACTTGCTAATGAGCTCTGGGACCCTGGGAAAGTCGCTTAACTTTCTAAAGAACCCCAGTCCCCTTCCTGCAAAATAAGGCTGTCTATTAACTATGAAATTAAATTAAAAATTAAATATGTTAAATAACACTGTTTTGGGAAAAGTGCTTTATAAACCTCACTAGTCATGCGACAAAGGGCCTGGCTAAGCTGCCATGGTCAGGGAGTGGGGGAGTTTCGAGGAGGCTGGCTAAGGGAAGGAAGATGAGGAGCCTTCAATGTACTGTATTGTTGGGAGAGTCTTTACTCCAGCTCCCTGAAACCCTTGTACCCCTTAATGACAGGTTGATTGGTCAATAATTACAGCAGCAATGCCTGCATCCCTGGAGCTCAAAGTACTTTATGAGCTGCCCCGTCTGGAGAGAAAACAGTGAGCTAACATTGCCCAAGGCTGGGGCTGGGCATGAGAGGAGAAACCCATCAGAGACATGGTAGAGACCAAGGATCTACCATAACAGGAGCATCTGCATGGGTAGCACAGGCCAGGGGCACGCAGTTTAATGGAAATAACACTGGAATGGGAGTAAAAAGATCTAGGTTCCACTCTCAGGTATGCCATAAACCCTCTGTGACTCTGGACAAATCCCTTCTCTCTGGGGGTCAGTTCTTTGTCTGGGGACATAAACAAGTCCTTTGGGAAAAAAAAAGTTTGCTGAACTGAATTGTTCTTTTTTTTTTTTTCAGCCAAAGACAAGGTTTATTAGAACACCCACCATATTGGGCAGGCTCTTAAGGAGCCTGAACATTAGTGAGCTGTTGGCTAGATTTTAGGAATCTGAGCAGTGGCTAGATCATAAGAATCAAAGCCGCGACTAGATGATAAGAATCCCAGCTATGGCTAGATGATAAGAATCTGAGCCCCGAACTGAATTGTTCTAAGTCCCCTTTCTGAAGCTAGGACTCTGAGATCTGAGGTTGAACTGAGCCTTCCTCTTTTTTCCTGAGGAAAAGTGGGGGTTTTGCTGGATAGGTCAGTGACTGAGCCCTGGGGCCTCTACCTGCAGGGTTTTATCAAACCAGCGGTTCCCACTGTTTTGCTTGCTGCCTCCACCGTGCAGCATCTGGCCAGCCACCCGGCTCTTGTAGATGTCGTCGGAGACCCGTGGCATGGGTGCATCTAGGCACACGGTGAAGATGCTCTTCTGGATCGAACGTACCGAAGCCTTGTTGGTTTTGTCTGCATTGGGCATGGAGGGGCAGGGCAGTGGAGAGAGGGAGAAAGAATGGGGAAGAGAGAATGAATCAGTCAGTAAGACTTTACTAAGTACCTATTTGCCCAGGCCTGTGCCAGGGTCTGCTGGGGAGAGAGAGGTACAAAACATAATCCCTGCCTTTGAGGAACTTTTAAGTCTAGTTGGGAAGACCATATACATGAAACCACAAGGCTGAAATGTGATAGGGAGTCTAGGGAGGAGGTCAGAGGAGGTCACTGTGGATGGGGGTGGTTGAGTTAGGACTTAAGATAGCCAGATTTGGACAGGCAGAAGAGGGCAGGGCAATATTAGCAAAGGCCCAGAGTTGGAAGGGATGTTAGAACCTCCAGCTTTACAGATGAGGAAACTGAAGCTCAGAAAGATTAAGTAGATTGCCCAAGGTATGATAAGCAACACTGGAAAAACTGGGATTCAAACCCAGGTCTTCAATGCTCTTTCTACTGTACCAAGCTATGGCAACAGGGAACTACTGTAAGTTCTTGAAGAAGTGACTGGACTGTCCTGTTCTTTGGGAAGGAAGCCTGTATCTCCTGTAGGCCAAGACTAAGGAGCACCTTCCTACTTTACCTAGCCCCGTTACTTTTCTGCACATTAGGAAGCCAAGGTTACGAGTCTGGTCAGGTCCCCTGTCCCTCCCTTGCTCCTAGCCAACCTGATTTCTGGCCTTCTCTGGGGACTCAGGAAAATGAGGAAAGAGAGTAGCTCCCCTGCTCAAACCTTTGATGAGGTTACTGTAAGCCTTGGCCCAGGTGTTTCGGTGATTGGTGGTGAGAATGCCAATGGGCTCCTTGTTGGTCTGCAGGGATGAGTTCCAGATCTTCTCCAGCTGTGTGAAGATCTGGTCTGCAGTCAAAGGTGTCCCATCACTGTGGTACACGTCCAACTCAAAAAACTGAAAGGAAGAGAAATGTGAAGGCTGACATAATGAATAAGTGGAAGGCGAGGTTGGACTAAAAAGGCCTTTTGAGACTGCCAGCAGAGGACAACCTTCCTGAGGGCACGTAGAGATGGCCTCTTCTGAAAAAGGGTTCCAACCATCAGAAACAAAGCCACTCCTGAGGGAGGCTGGACAGAGAAAAAGGACAGATTCCCTGCACGTTGTTCTAGGAACTAGACAGCTACAGTTGTTCAATGACTCAGAGGGAGAACAGGACCAGGTAGCATGGCTGAGGGCCCAGGAGTGGCCACCAGGGCCTTCTTTCTCTCACTTTTCCACACTCATCTCCCTCAAACTGTGGGTTGTACCTCTGTGCCAATTTTTACCCTTGACATTAACTTTCAACCAAATTTTCCTCACATGATGCTGCTGGGGACCTAGTTTGCCATATGCTCTAGGGATCCACTTATACCTGGATGACCTTGGTCATAGCCAGTTTTACTCCTAGGCCAGGCTCCTCCTCTAAGGAGCAGGAGCAGTCCCAGAGTTAAGGGGCAGGGGAAGGCTGTACCCCTCTCCCCGCCTGGTAGTGGCTATCTGAGAGAAAAGAATGGGACAGCTTTCTCCAGTAGGATGGGAGAATCCTTCATGATTCTAGGCCCTGAAGCAGCTTCATGGGGCTGGGGAGGATATGAGGGGGATTCGGGTTCTCCATGAATTGGGAAAGAGCAACAAGCAAGTGCTAATGACTTCCCTCCCTTCCTCCCAGATGACCCCATCCACTGCCCTAGCTCAAACCTGGAAATTGTGCACAACGATGATATGTATAGGGGGCTTAGTTGTCCTGCTGTAGTTAGTGACCGAGTCCTGCTTGGGGCCTGGGATTCGGCAGGAAGAGAGGATCTGGTAGTACTGGTTCATACACAGTGGCTTTCCTCCAAGATATTCCACTGGCAGAGTCTCACTGGAAAGGGGAAGGCAGGAATGGAGAGGAGTCCAGGGGATGGGTCACTGGGGACCCTAGGGAGACAGTGTTCATGCTGATGCATCCTCCTCAATGGTTCCCTCATCTAAGGACCTAGATGGGTTCCTGCCATTCTTCTCTGTGCCCCTCACATTTCCTTTCACCGCTGAGTCCCAGGACCCTCTCATTGGATGCTCAGTGTGACAAGAAGGAACCCTTGGTGGGGAGTTTATATAATGATGCTCTAAGCTTTAATGTTTTAGAATTCTATTAAATCATTTCACCCTTCCCAGGAAAACCCAGAGTAGGAGACAACGCAGCTTACTGTGGATGGCAAACTCAGTTGTCCTGATTCCCATTAACTAGATCCCACTCCTTCCAACCCAGGGAGGGGCCGGGAAACAGGAAGTGAAATTGACCAAGGTTGAGAGAACTCAACCACCTCCAGCCCAGTGTGGGGGTAGGAGAGTGCTTGGTGGCAGAGGGATGAAGCAGAGAGTGGCTTTAACAACAGCCCAAACTGTAATTAGGTTGGGCACCCCAGGCCTGGGGAAGGAGGCACAGTTCTGGGTTCCTGGATTTGCAGAAGACAATGACTGTGACTGTGAATGACCTTTGCCTACTCCCTAACTTATTACCAAACAAGTGGGAGGGCAAGAGGAAGTGCCTTTGGGGTCAAGGGCTTCAGGATGGGGAGAAGAGAGAGAGATCAAAGGGCAGAGATGGCAAAATGCATGCTCACTTGTCAATCATTGCCTTGAAATCCAAAGCTCCTTCTATGAGTTTGGCTGCAAACCTGCAGGGGCCAATTAGAGAGAAAATTAAAAATAAAATTCAGACAACCAATAATAACAATAATAGATCAAAGGACCAGAATATCAGAGGAACTAATGAAAAGAAATGCAGGGGCAGGTGGCCTAGCAATTCCAGATCTTAAATTGTATTAGAAAGCAGCAATCATCACAACAGCTTGGTACTGGCTAAGACACAGAGTGGTGGATCAGTGGAATAGGTTAAATACGCAAGACACAGTAGTCAATGACTACAGTAATCTATCATTTGATAAACCCAAAGACCCCAGCTTCTGGGATAAGAACCCACTCTTTGAAAAAAAAACTGCTGGGAAAACTGGAAAAGAGCATGGCAGAAACTAGGCATAGACCCAGATCTCATACCATCTACCAAAATAAAGTCAAAATGGGTTCAGGACTTAGATATAAAGGCTGATGCCATAAGTAAACTGGGAGAACAAGGAATAGTTTACCTATCAGATCTATGGAGAACAGAAGAATTCATGACCAAACAGGAGATAGAGAACATTATGAAAAGCAAAATGGATAATTTTGATTACATTAAATTGAAAAGTTTTTGCACAAACAAAGCCAATGCAACTAAGATTAGAAGGAAGGTAGAAAATTGGGAAAGAATTTTTACAACCAGTCTCTTGATAAAGGCCTCATTTCTAAAATATATAGAGAATTAAGACAAATTTATAAGAACACAAGCCATTCCCCAATTGATAAATGGTCAAAGGATATGAACAGACAGTTCTCAGATGAAGAAATTAAAGCCATCTATAGTCATATGAAAAAATGCTCTAAATTGTTATTGATTAGAGAAATGCAAATCAAAACAACTCTGAGGTACCACATCACACCTATCAGATTGGCCAACATGACAAAACAGGAAAATGATAAATGTTGGAGAGGATGTGGGAAAATTGGAACACTAATACATTGTTGGTGGAGTTGTGAAATGATCCAACCATTTTGGAGAACAATTTGGAACTATGCCCAAAGGGCTACAAAAATGTGCATACCCTTTGATCCAGCAATAGCACTTCTAGGGCTATATCCCAAAGAGATCAAACAAATGGGAAAAGGACCCACATGTACAAAAATATTCATAGCAGCTCTTTTTGTGGTGGCAAAGAATTGGAAATTGAGAGGATGCCCATCAATTGGGGAATGGCTGAGCAAGTTGTGGTATATGAATGTAATGGAATACTATTGTGCTATAAGAAATGATGAACAGGCTGACTTCAGAAAAACCTGGAAAGACTTATATGGTCTGATGCTGAGTGAAGTGAGCAGAACCAAGAGGACTTTGTACACAATAACAGCCATGTTATGCAATGACTAAGAATGTTAAACTGAACCCTTCTCAGCATTACAAGGATCTAAGACATCTCCAGAGGCCTCAGGATGGAAAATGCTGTCCACATCCAAAGAAAGAACTATGGAAGTTGAATCGCTATCACTTATTTTTACCTTCTGTTGAGTTTTGTTTCATCTTTCTGATGGTTCCTCTTATTGGTTTTAATTTTTACTTACAACTTCACTAATGTGAAAATATGTTTAATGGGTATGTAAATGTAAAGCCTATGTCAGATTGTGCGCCGTCTTGGGGAGGGTGGGGGGGGGAGGAAAAGGGAGAAAAATTTTCAACTCAAAAGCATATGGAAAAAAAACATAAAAAAAATTGATCAAAGGAGAGGATTTCAGTCTTGGCCCTTTGCCTTACCACAATCTGGCTAAGGAACAAGATATATACCTGGTGGGTGGGAAAACTTTTGGCAGGTGAGAAGATGGTTTGGCATAGAGGGAACAGCCCCACACTAGCAAGGATTTTGGTCTCAGTTCTGCTGCAAATTAAGTGCATCATTGAAGACTAGTCATTACCTCTTCTCTGGGCCTCAGTTTTCCCATCTGTCAAATGAGGGGACTGGATTAGATGCTTTCTAGAGACTCTTTTAGCTCTGACTTTCTATGATGCCATGAATCTCAGCTACTGGGGAGAGGAAAAAATCCCTTTGCTTCACTTCTACCAGAGTCTTTTTCACATTCAATAGATATAAGGAGTCTCAGTTATCCCTGGCCAATGGTGCTGGGCAGGGGAGGAGTGTCTTAGAATCTCTCCTGACATATTAGAGCCTTAAGAACCAGGTGCAAGAACTTGGGTCTCTAAACTGCAGCCATGGGCTATCCCTTTTCCCCAAATGGGAAAATGAAAGGAAGTTGTTAAATTCAGTAACAATGACACAGCCTGTTCCAAAGGGCCAATCCAGGAGAGTAGGAGGTGTCTCTTCCCCCAAAGTCTCGGGGATGGGACCAGTTAGTGGTTTAATGTGATCTGTCTTCTTCCTTCACTCTGCCCCTATTTATTAAGAATCTATGATTACAGCCCTCCTTGACCTACTGTCCTACTGCATTCACACAGAACCCACTGTGAGGGGATAAGGGCCAATTCTAAATTGGACACCTATGCCTTTAAGGGCAAAGAGGAGTGGGGCTTGAGTGGTCAGACTAGAAGGGCATCCCTACTAAGTGGTATTTTTATCTAGAACCAGACTAGAGTTGAGGGCTGGGGCAGGAGACAAGGGCTAAATATGGGAAAGGTAACCCTATACAAAGGTCATGTGAGAGGCAAGAAACATGGGAGTTGGGTTTCAAAACAGGAGGAGGAGGAGGGGGGAGCCAGTGACATGATAGGAGGGACAGAACAGATCTTGCCTAAACTCAAGGAAGCCAAACTGAAGTATAGAGGAATGCCTCTAAGCCCAATGGGAGAGAGGGGTGTGTGTGTGTGTGTGTGTGTGTGTGTGTGTGTGTGTGTGTGTGTGTGTGTGTGTGTGTGTGTGTGTGTGTGTGTGTGTAGGGGGTGGGGGTGGATATGCTTGAGTAGCTGGCTGCATTGGGAAGGGACTTCCCATGAAGGTGACTGCAGATCCAGGCAGGTGCTAACCTCACTCTCATCTGCCCTAGAAGGCTCCCCTAGCCCTCCCCTCCTGCTGTCCCTCCCTTGAAATACCGTTGCACTCACCGAAGCTGACCCTGGGAATCCACAAAGTCTTGTTTGGGGAGCAACACGCCTGGGCTTGAGTGGATCACCACAGGTTGTCGGTACTGGAGGTAGGCAGTCTTTAGCCACCATTCAGATAGCTGGGGAAGGTAGCAGAAAGGTGGAGACCGGTCATGGACCAGCTGGCCAGGACCTGGAGCCTCTCACAGGAAGCAGTGGAGGCTGAACTTTTTGTCGCTCAGAATGGAGACACACCGCCCAAATCCCTGTCTTAGTTTAGTAAACTCTACATTATCCACAAGTGGGTTATCTAATTGGGTACTGGCAGATGTTAATCCCAGAATGGCTCCCCTCATTTATACAGGTTTCCCCCTTCACCTCAATCAATCACCCTCATTTTGTATCTCTCGGGCCAACGTTAGAAAAGTAAACACAAATGTATTTCTCTTACTTCATTCATCAAATCACAGAGTCTTTGAACTGGAAGAGATCCCAGAGATGAACTTGTCCAGCCCCTTAATTTAATTTTTTCCCTTAATTTCACAGATAGAGAAACTGAGGTCCAGAGAGGGGAAGTGACTTTTCACCTCACACAGCTGTTTGATGGCCAAGCAGGACTCGAACACAGGTTTCCAGATCACTATTGTGGCCTTCATTCTACAATCATGGGACTTAGTCCAGGGCTCTGCCCATAATGGGTCATTGATAAATACAGTCTGATTGGCAGATCTCTTGGGCAAGGCACTGTAGGGGAGATTGTCTTGCCTGAACCAGCCACTAGGGTAGGAACGGCATAGGGCCCATCTGAATCCCAGATGAAGTCTCTTCCTGACTCTGTGCCTTAGTTTCCTCTCATAATTTCTTCATCTGCAGAAATGAAGGGGTTGGATTAGATAAGTTTTCTCTATCTGTCTATCTCTTTGTCTCTACCTCTCTTGGAGGCAACTGAGATTAAGTGACTTGTCCAGGGTCACACAGCTAATAAGTGTCTGACGCCAGATTTAAACACAGGTCCTCCTGACTCCAGGGCTGGTGCTCCATCCACTTCACCAACTAGCTGTGTCTCTTTCAGTTTTAAAATCTGTGACACTGTGAGCCCACCATCACCTGCTTCATGGGGCTCTCACAGTATAAAGACCATTCGGGGACACTCAACTAATATAAATTAGCTAGAGCTAGGGGAAAGAGAACCCTCCTGCCACAGAAGGTACAAAACACACTGAATCTCAAAATTTTGCTCATAAAGGTAATGTGACAGTGAACAGAACATGAGAGAGGGAATCAGGAGACCTGAATTTTAGCCCCAACTCTTCACGAACCCACTGTGTGACATTGGGAAAGTTTATTCCCCTCTCCAGGCCTTAGCCTCCTCATCTGCACAATGAGGGGTAGGACGAGATGGTCTCTGGATGAGCTCTAGAAGTTTATGATTCAGTACTATGGGAGCCACACATCCATTAGAGGTGCAGGAGGCAATGGTGGGACCTGGACTCAGGAGCTGTGCCTAGAAGCAGAGAGTCTTCCCATCTTGGGGATTCCTGACTTTCATGTGGAAGTCTCCCAACCCACTCCATGGTGCCTACAGGGCTGTGCAGGCTATGGCTTCTCCCAGAGCTTGGGAAAGTCAAGGTTAAGTAGCAGGACTAAAAAGACAGAATGGTGAGGAGGCTCCTAGTTGGGTGGATGGCTGGGATTAAAGGCCTGAGATTATCCGAACGGTAATTCTTATACTAGATAAGAGGACATACCCAGTTGTCTGTCTTCCTGGCTCTTCGTTCCAGGCTCTTCTGTAGTCGCTCTCCTACGCCTCCTGAGCTCCGGAACTCATCCACCAGCTGCTTGGTGTTATTCCATTCCTCCTCGCTCACAATGGGCTGCAGGATCTGGAGGTAGTGATCCAGGGTCTGCTGCAGGGGAGGCACTGGCAGTCGAGGCAGGGAGTTCTGGTGTGCCTGAAACCTGCCTGGCACCTTCCCCAAGGAGATTGGCTTAAGGAAGCCCAAGGGCTTGATCTGTAGGCAGCAAAACATTCTTGTAGGTGCCAGAGTTTTGAAGGATGCTTTTATCACACAACTGGAGCCACAATGGGCAAGAATACCCTAACTATCCAATGGTGCTGGACAGGGACCATCCATTGTATTTATGTCCTCATCCAGAGGATACAAGGGGAAGTGCCTGAACTGCCCCACCCCTCTCCCCAGGCCAAATAGGTGTTTCCACCTGTGAGGTGATGGAAGGTAATGGCTGAGGATGCGATGGAGTGGGGTAAAGGCCGGCCCCATGTGTAGGAGTTGGGCTGAGGTAGTGCCATTAATCTTGGCACAGAGAAGGAATCTGGGACTGTCCACCTATGTACCTTCTTGCCCCTAGAATAGGAGAGTTGAGACAACTCCTCTTCCTCCCCACCCCTACTCCACCCATCCTTCAGGTTGAAAAATATGACAGGAAGGCATCAGAAATCAGAAAGCCCAAGGGTGAGAGCTACCTATAGAATTAGGGACATTAGACCCTTTCCCAGAATGCTCTCTTCCTCAAAGGTTGAAGCCTTTGTTGGGGGCTGGGGAAGAGTGAGCAAGAGGAAATGGGATATTGCCAGTGAAAATCTCTTGTGCTCTGACACAAGGAAAGGGAAATCCTGCAGGAGATGAAGGTCAAAGAAGTAAAAAAGTGATTAAGGCCAGAGAGGTTTCAGAGGGAGAGAGAGAGAGAGAGAGAGAGAGAGAGAGAGAGGAGAGAGAGAGAGAGAGAGAGAGAGAGAGAGAGAGAGAGAGAGAGAGAGATGGGGAATAAAAGGATGTCACTGATGATGGCCTTATGGCATACCTTCTCTCCCTGCTGCTGCCTCTCAACCATGGCCGGAGTGAGGCTCTGAGCTCAACCTGTTCGTCTGTCTGCCTCGGGTTCAGGCTCTGAGCCTAACCTGTGCTAGCATGCCAACAGAAGAACGGATGGACTGGACGGACAGGTGGGACCTAGTGAGTGAGAAGCCGCCAGCCTCCTGGGCTGGAAAGAGAAGGCAAGAGCCAAGTTTAGGAGGGGCAGAAAGTTAAGCTGGCTGGTTTTCTGGATGCTGTTCTACCTCTCCTGGCTGTCGGGAGCTCTGGAGGAACCTGAAACAGGTGTTGGGGCATAATGCGCTTGTGGAGAGAGGGTTGAAGGGAGTTCAGGGATGGGTGGGAGGGGACCTGCCTGAAAAATGCCTTGTTTCCTTTTTTGGCTGTCTCTGCACTTGCAGGTTGCCTGAGGCACCTGAAAAGCAAGTAAAAACTCATTTGTTTGATTTTATCTGGGCCTGCTGGAAGAGGGAAATTGCCATTTGGGTAGAAATCACTTAGGGCTGAGGGAGTGTCCACTGCTCAGGCAGGCCAGGATTCCAAGGGACATGGATACCTGGGATGGTCCATCATCTCCAGAACGGTTAAGGGAAGGATTCTGGTGGCCAGAGATCCTGGCTAAGCTTCCTTTCACTGGAGCCAAGCTAACCCCTGGCTTCCTCCTACCCTCTGAGAGTAGGTGAAGGTGGGACAAAACTTGTTACAGAAAAAAGGGGGCACATTTGCCATGAAATTTTGCTTGATTCAAGAAACTTCCTGGGTAACCTTGAGTAAGTGTCTTTACCTCTCAGGCAACTCTTCACTTTACTCCTTTGTAAATCATTTTACCATGTAGAGCAGATTAAATAATCTCTAAATTTTCTTTCAGCTAGGACAGCAATGGCTCAGTCACGGCTGCTGAGGTGTTATGGGAATGCTGCTTCGAGGCAGGGAAGGACAAGGGAGAAAAAGAGAAGGATTCCATTCAATTCAATACCACAAACACTTATCAGGGGTTTACTATATTCCATGCACAGTTTAATTACTGAAAATTCAAGGATGAAATAAGACACAGTACTTACCCTAAAGTGCTTACAATAAGACATGTACACAAATAACCAACCATGAGCCAAGAGAGAATGTGGTAGAGAGAGGCCTAAAATGCTATGAAAAATTTGAGGAGAGATATTACTTTTGGAGGTGAGATAGGGTTATATGAGATGAGTTTAATGGAGGAGGTATCCCCTGAATTTAGTTTTAAAGGAAGAAAGAAATTTCAACAGGTAGGGATGGGAATATGGAAGGAACCCATTCCAGTCCTGAGGGACAGCAAAAAAGTATGGAGACCTGAGAGGGCAGGAGCAGTGAGCACTTTGATTGAACATAATATAAATGGCAATAAAATGAGATAAGACTGAAAAGGAAGATTGGAGTCAGATTGGGAAGGGTCTTGAATGCCAGGATAAAAAATTTACACTTTATTTGTTATGGAACACGGAATTACTCAAAATGGTTTTGAGTAGACGTATGACATGATTAAAGCAATGCTTAAGGAGAATTAATGGTCGTGGTACAAAAGGAGACTGGAGGCAGGATGACTAAGTAAGAGGCTTTTACAACTGTTTATTTGATAAGGGCCCAGCACTAGGGAGGTAACAGTGAGAATGGAAATAGAGAAGTAGGAGTTCCTTGTCCAGAGGTAGTAATTCAACCTGTAGGAAGGAACCTGATTGCCAAAGGAGAAAGTATAGGAAGATTTAGAAGAGGAGCAAGGACAGGACCTTGGGGTAACCCACATTTAAAGGTGGCAGGAAGACAGAGGAGTCAGAGGAGAGAGGGAAATGGTCAAAGTGGGAGGACAGCCAGCAGAGTGACAGTCATGGGAACCAAAGGGGAAAGAGGCTTTAGGAGCAACACTGTGAAATACCACAGAGGATGAAGACAGAAATAAGACCATTGGATCTGGAAATTAGGAGGCAATTAACATTTGACTTTTGAGACAGCCATTTCTGTGGAATAGTAGGATAGCAGCTAGATTGCAAAATGTTGAGGAGTAAAGAAGGTGGAGGCTTTACCTGACTCTGAGAGCCTTTGAGGAGCCAATAGGTTCCTGAGCTTGGTTCTCAGGATGCAGCCATCCTGCTGAGAAGTCAAGGAGGATTTCCTGCTCTCTGGGGAATGAGGCTTGGGACTCCTATTTTGGCTACTTTAATAGTCTCCTAATTGAGCCTCCAGCCTCTCCCTCTCCAATACATCCTTCAAAGAGCTGACGATCTTCCTTATAGACAGTTTCTCTCCTGCTCAAAATCCTTCTGTGATTCCCTATTGCCTCTAGGATAAAATATGAACTTCTCTGTTTGGAAGGCATATAAAGTGCTGTCAGAAGATAGGATGTCTTTATTTGCCTTCCTCGCCTTATTTAGAATTATTCCTTTTCATCTACACTGTCAGCTGAACTGGACTACAATTCTTTTCTAATCTTGCCTTTTACTCTTTCCTCTCTGTGCATTTACCATGCCTAGAACTCTATCCCTCTCTATCTCCACTTACTGAAATCTTTTTCTTCCTAAGTCCAGCTCAGGTGCCATATCCTTCATGAAGTCTTCCCTATGCCTCCAGCTCAAAGTATTTCTTTCTTTTCAAATTTCCTTCAGATCCATTTGTTTGGGTTCATCCTTTACTCTTATATTCTATTTTGTATACAAGTCATAATACTCCACTGGATTGTAAGCTAATAGAAGATAGGGGACTGTGCTTTATCATCTTTGTTTTTTCTGGCCTGGCATAGGGTGACTGTTTAATTAAATTAAATTATAGAGGGGTGTCCATAAAGCACTGCATCATTTCATTTCAGTACAGCTGTCACTGGCACTCCCAGGCATCTCCAATCCTTCCAGGCTGGATAGCATTGTTTAACCAACTTTCTCAGAAGGAATCAGAAGGTACAAATGTAGATAGTCTAAGAGATTAAAAAGGAGTTATACAAGAAAAACATCTTTCCAGAAATATCTGAGACAGGGTGACCATTCCCCAGGGACAATGGGGCAGAGCCTGTCAATCTGGCATGATTAGAGGGTGGGTGTGAGAGTGAGATGAGGAAGCAGCATCTTGAATCTCTTGGTGACCTGGCACCTTGCTTGGCTCTCTTTCTTCTGAATTGCAAAAGGACAGCTCTGGTTAGATGGTGCAATTAAGGTGAGTGGGTAAGAGTATTCCCTCATTTAATTAACAAGTTTTGGGGCCTTTCAGGGGTTAACTTTATCTGGAAAGGCAAACACTTTGGGAGATTATCAGAAAAATCAAAGTGGGCTATGCTAAGGGCATGGAATTGCTTTTACTGAATCATAGGGTATTTGAGCTGGAAGGGACTTCAATTCGATAAACATGTATTAAGTGCTTAATTTGTGCCAAGCACTGTGCTAAGTGCTGGGGACACAAAAACAGGCAAAAGACAAGGCTCTACCCTCAAGGAGCTTACACTCTAATGGAGGAGACAACATACAAACAATTATATACAAAGTATGTTATATACGGGATAAATAGGAAATAATTAAAGGAAGGAAAGCACTGGAATTAAGAAGGGGCCAAGGTGGAAGGTGAGATTTTAGTTGGGACTTAAAGAAAGCCAGGGAGGTCAGTAGTCAGTAGTAGGAGTGAAGAAGGGAGAGTGTTCCAGGCATGGGAAACAGCCAAAGAAAATGTCCAGAGCTGAGAGATGAAATGTCTTGTTGACCAGAGTGTCTCTGGATGGAAGGTCACTCACTGGTGAGTAAGATGTAAAAAGACTGGAAAAGTGGAAGGCAAGATAGCGTTAGAGCTAGAAGAAACTGTAGAGACTAGGTTGTGCTTCCTCATTTTAAGTTAAGACATAGGGCAGAATCACAAGTTTCAGCCCTGGACAGAGGGCAAGGGAAGTTTTCTATGGACACAGACCTTAGGTATGGTTCTCCCAAACTCCCAGACCGTCATTGCTACCTTGTGTATATTTATTCATATATGTACATGTTTGTTTCTAAAAGCGAGGATGTAAGCTCCTTGAGGACAAGGCTTGTTTTATTTTGTCCTTGTAGTTCTCCTCCCTGCCGCCCCCCCTCCCCCCAGCCTAGCACATTTCATAGTAATAGTATGTAAGCATTTCATAAAAGGTTTGATTGAGCAATTGATTTGCCATCCTTCTCTGCCATCTGGGCCTCACTTTCCCCAGATGTAAAATAAGGAGTTGAGCTAGATGGTCTCAAAGGTCCTTTCTCGTGGAGAGGAAAGGGTCATCCTTGGCACAGGTGGCTTGTATATTCTTCCGGGAGAGCCCAGTTGAATCATTCCTCTGGGGCCTCCACATCAGCTCCAATTTCACCAGCTACGTCGCAGACAGATGGGTCATCCAGACCATAAGCTCTTATGCCCCAAAAGCCTCTGGCCATGCTCAAGACGTGGGGGTCAGGGTCAGAGTCAGGGTTAGTGCCAGCCTCCCAAGCCTTCCTGCAGGCCCCCACAGCGCAGACGAGAACTGCGCGCCGCTTGTGGGGTGCTGCCCCCGGAGACATCACGGCTGGAGCTTTCCCCGGTCCCATCTCCCTGCACCGGTTCGCCTCCTCCCTCGGTTGCCCCCTCCCTGGGGCTTTTCTGGCTCTGGTCCTCCCCTCCTCCAGCCCTCTCCCCGGGCCCACTAAGGCACGCACTCACCATGGTTCTCGCCGCAAACGCCAGCATCTTGGTGACCCGCCGACTGTCCGCTCCACCCACCTCGATCCGAGCAAAGTACGCGAGTCTCCAATAGATTTCGCAGCTGCTTTTTCCCTCTGTACACACTCCTAGCTTCGGCCAACGGGGCCAAGGGCAGACGGCTGCAGGTCGCAGAGCCACTCCCGCTGCAGCAGCCACTGCCTCCGCCACCCCGCCAGGCCAGGCAGGGGAGGCGTCCCTCCCCACCCCCCCCCCCCGCCTCGCGCCAGCAGTCTGGGGAGGAAGGGGGCGGGGGCGGGGCGCTGGGACAGTGGTGGAAAGGGCAGCTGGAGTAACTGGCCCCAGGCCGGGCCAGCGTCCAGGGGTGGGGCCAGAGGCAACGAGGGGCGGGGCCAAAGGTACCGAGACGAGTCGGAAGCTCAGAGAGCAGATATTGGTGCTCTCCAGACCTCTTTTCCTACCCGTGTTCCTTCTGTCACTGTCGTTTCCCATTTTTAGCTCTACAAGTTTGCCCCTGAACGTAGGTAGAAAGCATTAGGCATTTTTTCGTGGGGATGATTTTCTTGATACATGATAGGAGAAAAAAAATACAACTCTTTATTGCCCCGCACAAAGATGGCAGTACAGGGCCCCGGAGAAATGTGAATGCCCCGCACCAACATGGCTACCACCCTTAATAAATATGGCCTCCGCGAGCCCTCCCATTGGTGGATACACTTCACAAGCGTCCCGCATCAACATGGCGGGCGTCTCCGGCCGGGTGACGCTCGGTCGCGGTTTTCGGTTATAGCGGGCGGGCGCCGGTTCCTTTTCAGTAAATTCTTCCCTCTCAGCCCAGGGTGGAGCCAGCAGGGGAGGCAAAGAGGAAAGGTGAGAGGCAACAACGGCGGGCGAGTGGACAGACCAGCTCGGGAAAGAAGATGGCAGAGAGCGGTCGGCAGCCGCCTTCAGGTAGGGCCTGGGCCTGGCCAAGGCATTCGGGGTATTGAGGGGCGCTGAGAGGAGGCTGCCAGGACGTACTAGCCATGCGTTGAGGGGGTGAAACCGAAGGCCTGATATCCTGAGGGGATGGGGGAGCAGGAGGAGGCCCAGAGGCAGGAAGAGGCCCAAGTGACTGAGGGGATGGGGGGCAGGAGGAGTCCCAGGGTCTGAGGGGATGGGGGCAGAGGAGGTCCAGAGTCTGAGGGAATGGGGGGCAGAGGAGGCCCAAGGTCTGAGGGATGGGGGCAGAGGAGGCCCAGGGTCTGAGGGGATGGGGGGCAGGAGGAGGCCCAAGTGACTGAGGGGATGGGGGGCAGGAGGAGGCCCACAAGGTCTGAAGGGATGGGGGCAGAGGAGGCCCAGGGTCTGAGGGGATGGGAGGCAGGAGGAGGCCCAGGGTCTGAGGGGATGGGGGGCAGGAGGAGGCCCAAGTGACTGAGGGGATGGGGGGCAGGAGGAGGCCCAGGTGACTGAGGGGATGGGGGGCAGGAGGAGGCCCAAGTGACTGAGGGGCTGGGGGGCAGGAGGAGGCCCAGGGGCAGGAGGAGGCCCAAGTGACTGAGGGGCTGGGGGGCAGGAGGAGGCCCAGGGTCTGAAGGGATGGGGGGGCAGGAGAAGGCCCAGGGTCTGAGGGGATGGGGGACAGAGGAGGCCCAGGGGCAGGAGGAGGCCCAAGTGACTGAGGGGCTGGGGGGCAGGAGGCCTGAGTGACTGAAGGAATGGGGCAGAAAGAGGCCTGACTGATGGGATGGGGGCAGAGGAGGCCCAGGGTCTGAGGGGATGAGGGGCAGAGAAGGCCCAGGGTCTGAGGGGATGGGGGCAGAGGAGGCCCAGGGTTTGAGGGGATGGGGGGCAGGGAAAAACCCAGGGTCTGGGGGTGGGAGGGTAGGAGGGAGGCCCTGGAACTCAAGGGATGAGGGACAGGAGGAGGCCCAGGAACTGAGGGGATAGGGTACAGGTGCTCTTAGAGAGTATTGGAGGTGGGGGAAGAAGAAGGCTAGGTTAGGACTGAATTTGGAGTCAGAGGATCTGGGTTCCAGTCCTGATGCTACTGTCTACTACTTATATGATTGGGTAAATTGCTTAGCTTCTTTGAACCTCAGTTTCCTTATTTGTAAGATGGAATTGGACCATGTCTTTAAGTTTTCCAGCTTGAAATCCTATGACTTTGAGAGATGAGGGGAGGATTTGTTAACTTGGAAGTCAAAACAGAAGAGTTTGGTGATTTAGAGGAGAGAGTCATGAGGGATGGAAGGCAGTCTGAGGAGGTGAAAGGGAAGAGTTTGGTGACTTTGAAGAAAAGGGATGGGGTGCTAAAGGGGGAAGAGTGTGAATGATAGGGAGAAGATGATCTAAAGGAGGGCATTTTAGAGTGGGCCACAGAGGGAAGGTGTGAAAGGGGGTACCCGATGTTTGTTGGGCATATAAATGTGAGAGATGATATGCTATGACATTTGTAAAGGCTACTATACTCTTTCTACTGTAATTCAACCTGTCCTGCCCTGATCAGTTGGGCCTTTTCCATTGCATGACACACTCTTGTCGTTTTAGAGAATTTGAGAGAAGCTTCCCATGATATTAAAACAACCAGTTTCAGATGGCTGATTGTGTTCTAAAATTATATGAAAAATCTCCCTAGCCTTTTCTTCTGTAGTTGCTACTTGAGGCAGCTAGATGATATAATGGATAGTATCCTTTACTTGGAGTCAGGAAGACCTGATTTCAAATTCTGCCCAAGACACCTGGCTGTGTGACATCGGACAATTCACTTAACCTCTCTGTGGCCCAGCTTCTTTATTTGTAAAATGAGGATAATAGCATTCACCTTAAAGAGTTAATGAATATCAAATGAGATGATATATATAAAACACTTAGCCTTAAAGTATTGTATAAATGTTAGCTGCTGCTGCTATTAACTACTGCTATTATTACATCCTTGGCTTTTTTTTTTACTTACCCTTTCCTCTCCCCCTTCCCCCATCCAGTTGCCAAGTGTTGAGTATTCTACCTCTTCAACATCTGTCACATCCTTTTTCTGTTTTCTCATACCACAGCCACCCTAGTCTAGGCCCCTTTCACTTCTTGCCTGCACTAGGTTTGCAATAGTTTCCTAGTTACTTTCCCTGTATTGTCTTTTTGTTCTCTAATTTTTCTTCTACACAGCTACCAAAATGATATTCCTCAAATGAAAATCTGACCATGTCACTTCCCAGCTGGTGAAATTGCAGTGGTTCCCTATTGTCTTTAGGATAGTATATAAACTTGTCTGTTTGGTCTTTAAAGCCCTTCCCAATCTGGATCCAGCCTGTCTTTCCGTGATGATTGTATATTACTCTCCATTAAATGTTCAGTGCTTTAGTTAAATTGGTGTGCTTGCTGTTCAGTGTAGCAGACGTATTATCTCTTGCCTTTATGTCTTTGCACAGGCTAACTCCCATGCCTGAAATTGTTTTCCTTACCTCACATCTTGGAAACACTAGCTCCCTTCAGGGGACTAGTGCCACCCCCTTGTTCTTGTTTCTCACAGTTAGTGCAGCCTTCCCAGCAGTTTGTATTTCCTTTGTCCATAGTTTGTAGTTACTACTTTGTGAGCATTCTAGTAGAATATAAGCTTCTTGAAGGTAGGGACTATTTTACTTTTGTATTGGTATCTCCAGTGTCTGTCACAAAGTAGATATCTAATAAATGCTTATTGATTGATTGGCATTCCTGGACTAGGTATGCTGAACCGGACTCAGTATGACATTTTTCATGGTATTGCATGTTCAGGTGTTACTTCTGTGTGTGTAATGCCTGCTTCAGGGCTACTCAAGAATGATAAGCCTGGGGGCAGCTAGGTGGCAGTGGATAGAGCACCAGCCCTGAAGTCAGGAGGACCTGAGTTCAAATGTGGCCTCAGACCAAACACTTGACACTTACTAGCTGTGTGACCCTGGGCAAGTCACTTAACCCCAATTGCCTAAAAATTTAAAAAAACAATTAAGAATGATAAGCCTGCATTGCTTCAGGAATTTCTCTTAATTAAGGGATGACGTTGATCATGTCCCATTGAGTACTGATAGTCCCCAACTTAGTATTGAGTTTTATTTTGGAACTCAGCTAGCACTTCACCATAGAAATGATGTTGTAAATGTTGATAGGTTCCTAGATTAATAGATATAAACTTCTTTATCCTATAGTGTAGTTGAAATTAATAATTCATTTCTAAAAGCACTGTTTGTTTAAATTGTAGATCCCTGGGAGCAGGGGTCTGTACTTCAGATAGCAGGACCCATTCTAGACAAAAATTTATAGATCAAGTGTGGTGCTTCTCACTTGTAGTTCTTAGGCCTTCAGCCAATCAGTGCCCTCGTACTGCCCTGAAGACCTCCTCTCCCCAACTTTGCCACTCTACTAGGCTTTGTCCTATCATCTTGAATGTTCTAGAATTACCAAATTGCTTACCCCTCAATCAGAATTCCCTTTTCTTCAGTGTAATAGATCTCAGTTTATGTATTAAGAAGAAAGGATTGAATCAAACTAATAAATGCCAATATGATTCTTTGTTTTTTTTTTCCAGCAATAATTCCGTTTTTCAAGAGGAAGCTTATTAACTCACAGGGTTCTTTTAAATGATAAAATTTCAGGAAGTACAACAAAATTGAAAGGAATGTCACATAATGTGGGAGAAGGTATTTTTTGGCAGAGGATCATTAACGTAGGCATACCATTTCTTCCTAGGACCATGTCCCAAGCTGTTGCTCAAGCTATTTCTCTCAAGCTATTTCTGTTTTTCACAGCTTCTTCCCATCCTTGACTTTTGAATCCATAGATTTTTTTAGAAACCCTTTTGTTTCCCATAGTGGTTTGTTTGAGATGGTTGACTGGGAGGAAGGGAGGAGCTAAAAGCAAGAGATCTGTTGTGTGTGTTAGTCATAAATCAAACAACCTGTATTTTATAATTTTTTTGTGAAGAGATACAAAGGGAAGACATCATTGGCTTGATTTTGACAATATTTTTTGCTTTGGTTTGAGAATGGATGTCCAGGTTCATATTTAGGGAGTTAAGACCAGGTGGTATCAGGGCTAGAGAAAGACTCTTACCTTCTGATTCAGAAGCTATTTGCTTT